TTGGGAGTTTAATTCATGTTGACTGAAAGTTAAGAAATTGAAAAATTACAGAATTCCAACGTTTGACATAGGCAAATATTTACATAGCACGTAGGTATATAAAAAGGTATATGAAGACTTACATTATAGGTATTTATATATCATCCTCGCCTTCGGAGCTGTCGCTAGAGTCATCTTGTAGAGGAATTACAACGGGATTTATAGGAGGCATGAAATTTTTTTTTTTAGTGCAATTTTTTACTGTTTGAATAAAAAAACTGATTCTTCGCACTTTTCAACATAAAAAGCTCTCTCGTGAATTTTCGTTATAGTTAGCCGTTTTTGAGATATTTCGATTTTTAAGGTTCGATGCATTTTTAATTATTTATGATAAAATAACGTTAAAAAGTCAGTATCTCGATAATTTTTAGAAGTAGGCTGTGCCTGCAAATATTTTTGAAATTGAAAGCAGAATAAGGTTGAACGTCAATTAGTTGACGTTTTATGGACCGATGAGTCATGCTTCACTAGACGTGAAGTGGTAAATTTTCATAATCAACATACTTGGTCGCATGAAAATCGGCATGCAGTTCGAGAAAAAAATTTTCAGCATGAATTTAGTGTGAACGTGTGGATTGGTATCTACCGTAATCGACTATTTGGACCGTACCCTTTGCCTGCAAGGTTAAATGCTGCTACCTTCTTGGAATTTTTAAAGGCTGAACATGCAAATATGTGGGATGATGTTATGTTAGATTTAAGAAGATTGGCCTGGTTCCAGTTTGATGGTTGTCCAGCTCATTATTCGAGAATAGTTAGAAACTGGCTGGACGAAAATTATCCAGAAAGATCGATCGGCCGTGGAGGACCAGTCGCCTGGCTTCCACGAACCCCTGACCTAAATCCATTAGATTTCTTTGTGTGGGGATTCCTAAAAGAAAATGTGTACCAGTAACCACAAGAGATATGCTAATAGACAGAATCAGGAATGCATGTGATGAAATAAGGTCTTATTTGAATAATGCTATACCACGTTCGATCATTCGTAGATGTGAATTGTGTATTGAGCAATTGGGTTTACATTTCGAGCAACTACTTTAGATTTTGTATGTTTGTCCTAACTATCCAATAGCATTTTAGTTGTAAATAATTAATTTAATTTGTTAAAAATAATATTGGAAAATTAAACAAATTAATATTCTGTTTTTTTTTGTGTTTATTTGGAGTTAGGAATTATTGCTGTGTTTAAAAACACAATCTAAACGATCATCTTAATTACTTGTAATGCCCAAATCGAAAGTATAAACAAAAATATTATTTTCCCATAAATAATTAAAAATGCATGGAACCTTAAAAATCGAAATATCTCAAAAACGGCTAACTACAACGAAAGCTCACACAAGAGCTTTTTTATGTTGAAAAGTGCGAAGAATCAGTTTATTTGTTCAAAAAGCAAAAAATTGCACTAAGAAAAATTTTTCGGTCATTTTAATACCCTACAGGTACAGTAGAGAGCGCCCTCTAGCGGCTACAGTAAAACTATGCCCATGGTTCGTTTTGTCGTACCAAAAAACCCTTGTATACCAATTTTCACTGTTATACATCAAATACTGTTCGAAATATTTAAAAAAAACTATTTTAGAAAGTAAATTTAAACACCCTGTATTTCGGAAGCCACGCATTTTTCGACCCATGTTTATATAGACTTTATGCATTAATTTTAAAAGTTCTATCGAATCTTAGAGTTATGCAACAATAAACTGAAACACCCTGTATACAGAGGCTTCGAAGTTGAGTCATTTATTTTAATACTGAGTAGATCTGATCAAAAGAAATGTTTTTTCCTTTAACATTTTTGTGGTAAATTAAAGTAACAAAGTTATAGCCCTTTGGAAGTTTGAGTACCGCCTTGTCTCAATAATAATATTATGTGCTCGTGTTTGGCAACAACGGATATAATCCGCCTTATCGGTTCATCGCATCGGAAACAAAAAAGCGAAAGAATTTGAAACACTTATCACGATGTTTTTACTACAATTTTATTCAGTTGTATTCAGTCAATGTGTCAGTCGGTAACGCGTGAGTGAATAGTGGTGTTTGTTGCGTGGCTCAAACGAAATAAAAAATGGCACATGTTTACGAAAATGCTGAACTTGTGGACATGATTCTTATTTACGGGGGGAGTCTTTACAAAATGCTGCCGCGGCATCACGGATTTATGCGGATCGATTTCCCAATCGAGTGCAACCAACCCCTCATGCCTTTGTTAATGTAGTACAAAGGGCTCGTGAATCAGGACCGCACGATCAAATACAGGTCCGCACTGAAATACTTGAGGGTACTTTATAAAACAAGGTAACATTTTTTTTAATTTTTTTTCATTTTTACACACATATTTTGGTTTATCTTCCTTCTACAATCATTATCTAAAAATTAATGACTCAACTTCAGAGTCACCCTGTATATATATATATATATATATATGTAATATGAACGATGTCTAGTAGACGTCTCAGGGCGCTCCACTAAACTTTCACGAACTCTCTCGATATTTCCTGGAGTAAGAACACTTCGAACACGGCCCGACCTTGGCAAGTCTTTAACTTCACCTGTTTGTTCAAATTTCCGCACCAACTGACAAATTGTGTTGACACTGGGTACACTATTTCGACCGAAATCTTGTCGTAGCTTCTGAATCGTTGCAACAATCGACTCATTTTTTAGGTAAAACGTTTTAACAATACGGACGCGTTGTGGGATCGTGCAGCGCTCCATGACGAATTGGACACATGTGCTTTAAACAACTTCTATGGCGCCACCTACTGAAATGCGCAATTTAAATCAGTCAGTTATATATTGGCCACCCTGTATTAACAAATGGATTTGAGAAAACTGAAACTTGCATAAACTAGTAATGTAGCTTTCGTTTGTCCGACGACGTGCGGCCAGAAATGGACAGTTGTTTCGTGCTATTTGGCAACTCGTCAGCAAGGTGTAGGCTTGTGTCGGTTGACAACAACTCTACTATATTCAGATTATACGGCTTATCTAAATGAGATAGCACAAAGTGCCATCTACAACCAGAGTCGGCCACAGTAAAAGTGAAAGTCTGATGGAACTATATCCCAATTCGCATTGTCAGCCAGATCAGCTCTATGGTCCCCAGTTGCCGAAGATTCTGCTACTATAGTGGATAGTATAGTACTCGCCAATGAACAAACAAATAGTATAGCTTGTTGCTGCCAGCCAAAGGCTATAGTAGTCTTACGGTGGTATAAGTTATGGAATCCTGATGATTACCAATTCAACGGTACGGCTAACACCGCCCCGATGCCCTTGTGATTAGCGCCGTCCATCCGGTTTCTAGTTACAGCGTTAGGTGTTATCTTTGTGAGAACATTCCTGACTTTGCATTTTGCTATATTTTATTTCTTATAAACTGAATATGAAATGTAACTAGCGTTGTTGTCATCCTGTTTTCATCCAATAAAGTTCCTGCTATAGTTTCGAACCGAAACCACACTGAGTTTCATTTCTGGCGCTGCGAACAGGATCCCAGGCTTGGTTTCTGTCACCATTGTGAGAAATATCTAATAGACGAGCTGCCCAGCGGTGTCTCCGAGAAAGCCAAAGAGTGAGTTCCTGAGAAAACTGAAGTTAGTACCAGCGAAAGCCAAGAGTTAGTATCAGACGTCGGGAAGGCCCTCCTGTTCTACTTGGACTCTCCGAGTGCCAATATCAAGTAAGAATTTCTATTCTTTTACTGGGAATTCTACCAGAAACTGTCCAGAACCATTGATTTGGAATCGAAGACAAGATGACCAGCCCCTGGATGAAGCAACAATTGATGTTACTGTCCTTGTAAGTATTTAAGAATTACTATTAAGAAGATTTTGCAACTAAGAAGATTTAATACGTAACCATAAGAAGAATTTATCAAAAAACCCATTTCTACAGAGATTTTTTTTGAAGAATCCAAGTTTGCGTTTTTCAATTGAAATCTAATTTTGTGCATAGCTTTAAGTTTTGTTTTCACCTATTTTTACTCATTTTTATCTTGCATCTTTTATACATTTTATTTTATGCCTTTTGTTAATCGTTTTGTGCCTACCGAAAGAGAAAGATCTCCTATAAGAATGGCTACTTCAAATCAACAGAATGTCGTTCAGCATGACAATCCTCAATTAATTTTTAACATGCTAAAAGATTCAATCCCTATATTTGATGGCTATTCAAACAATCTTTCTACATTTTTAAGAAAGTCTAGAGAATTTTATAACGCTTTACCTATTTCCTATAAAGGACATGCTTTAACCTCGAGACCTCGGTTGGCCGCGATGGGACCTCGGTTGGCCGCGTGGGTCAGAGTGTCGTGCTACTGATCAGCCGGCCGGCCGGGCCGCGAGTTCGAATCTCGCCTTCGCCATGGATGTTGTGTGTTTGTTTTAGGCAGTAGCGGTGGCCGCAGTAGTAGACTCTTCGGTCTCCTGATCAGTCGCCGTGCGCTGTGCGGGTTCGAGTCCCGTCCCAGGAGAAATGTTTCTCTTGGCCATGGATGCTGTGATTGTCCGTAGGTGGTAGATGGTCTCTGACTGTCGAACGCGGAGGTACCACCCGGCGGTTCTCGTAGGCGGAGCCAGAATGTGTGCATGTTGCATGCACACGTGTTCCCTCGCCAGAGTCCGTGTGGCGTCCCCCCTTTCCCATGTATCCCCCATAGCCCCACGGTACCCAATGGGTGCTTAGGCATTAGGCCTTCGTGGTAGTTGGAGTATAAAAAAAAACATTTATTAAGTCTAGATTACAAGGTGAACCCGCCGAATTTACAGAACAAACTAATCCTGTTACTATTGAACATCTTTCTGCTATTTTAACCACTAGATTTAAAGATTACCAAACTGAAGAAAATTTGACTCGTCAACTTTTTAATATTCATTCCCCAGACTATAGCGTTTTAAATTCAGAAATGTGTAACAAACTTCATGAATTACGAGAATTTGCTCGATTAAATTATCCTCCAGAAATTGCCCCAGCAATGATTGCTAGATATGAACAGATGGCTTTAACCTCCTTTTTATGCGGAATCAATTCCAAATATCATTGCGTTACATTACAACCACCCCCTAAAAATATAGATGAAGCTAAAAAACGGTGCCAAGAACACGACAGCCTTTTGCAAACCAAACAATATAAAGAGTTTCTCATCACTAAGTCTAAGCCTTAGACAAATAAACCTGTTAAGCCACCTCGCATTGTTTCATATGTGTGACGACCACCATAGCTGTCCACATAGCCTTGGAACATTATTTGCAACCCATACAACAGATACGTTTAGGCAATGTAAGAAATATTCATCACTATCACAAAGTCTATTTCTTCATTAACCTCACTGATATTTCACATACCATGCAAATGTTTTCTGACCTAATTGAATTACATAATAAAATTCCCACCAGCTTAGATAATCAGATTCAAAATTTACACGAAGACACCTATTCCAAGTTCGAAACTCTAACACAGCATAGAATCAAACGCGGACTTATAAACGGTCTAGGTTCTATAATTCGTTTTATTTCTGGCAACCTTGATCAAAACGATTTAGATCTTATTTTGAAAAATCAGAATGCTTCACGAAATAACCAGAATAGCTTGCTTGAAAGTCATCAGAAAACTATCACGTTTTGCAAATCTCTTCAAGACACTTTTGAAAATAATACAAGAAGAATTCAATCAATTATTATTCATAATGTCCAAACTATTGAACATCAGTCTTTGTTATCACACCAGACGATCCATCAGATCTCAATTATTACAAATTTGCAACGATTTAATTCATATCTAAATTCACTTTTATTAGTTCTACAATTGAACCAGCAAACAGGTCTCAACACCTTACATTTATCTCATCATCAGATTACCTTACTTATTGAACATTTAAAATCCATTTATAAAGACGAAGAATTATTGCCATTCGACAAAATACATTTATTTGAGATTTATGATCTTTCCCTTTTATCACTTATACTTTTAGAAAACCAACTTATTTTTGTAGTTGAGTTTCCCATTTTAGATGTTAGAACTTATTCCTTATTCAAGTTATTTTCATTCACAGTCAAAAAAGAATTAGTAAAATTACCAAGTGATTATATTTTATACTTTGAAAAGTATTATTATTACAAAAATATTATAGAGTTAAGCAATCAGCTGTATGTTTGCACGAATACTTTCCAGTCGCCATGTCAACCATTTGAGTTAGACACTTGTGAGTCTGAAAGTCTAGTAAACTACACGCGAATCCTAGAATTAAGTAAGAACAATTATGTAATCGACACTCATGTTTTAACAAAAATCAAGGATTGTGAACGAATCCATCATATTCATTTTACTACTCACATAATTTTAGAATGTCATACATTTATTAATGATCAAATATTAGAATTTGACTCTAATTATGAAATTGAATTAGAATTATCCTTCAGAGGTGACAATAATAAATATTCATTTAAGAAAACAAACACTTCACTCGAATCTTATTTCGAAAAAAAATCTCACTTCACTTCAAGTTCATTTTGAAGACTTACAGTTTCATTCTACTATAAGTTATCCTGTTATTTTTACTACTGTAATTATTTTATTGGTTTTATTTATAACAATTTTTGTTAGATACCGTTATGTAAGGGATACTAAAACTCCACCTCAAAGTAGTGATATTTAAGAAACTTCTCCTTCAAATTAAAAGTTCAAATCATTTTTTGAGATTGGAGACCAATCTTTCCGAGGAGGGAGGAGTTATGGAATCCTGATGATTACCATTTCAACGGTACGGCTAACACCGTCCCGATGCCCTTGTGATTAGCGTCGTCCATCCGGTTTCTAGTTACAGCGTTAGGTGTTATCTTTGTGAGAACATTCCTGACTTTGCATTTTGCTATATTTTACTTCTTATAAACCGAATATGAAATGTAACTAACGTTGCTGTCATCCTGTTTTCATCCAATAAAGTTCCTGCTATAGTTTCGAACCGAAACCACACTGAGTTTCATTTCTTATACGATTCTGGACTTTGACGGCTAGCATGATGTCATTCGCTATTGCCGTAAAGCCCCAGGTCCCGAGGTCGTGATCTCCTCAACCTTTTTCACAGTCGTGATCCATGATTCCGAAGTATCAGTTACTAAGCATGCCACCACGACATCTCCTAGCTCCGCGTCACACACCTCTTGATTTGTTCTTTTTCTCTTCCTAAGATAATTTTCGCAACGTACATTTATTTTACGATCCTTCAAAAGTTCTGGTAGATAATGGAAGATTTATAGTGGGAAAAGTTAATGTAGGAAATATTGCGCAGATATAAAGGCCTTCAAATAAAGCAGCTACTTTGCTACGAACTTCTTTGTAGCTGAACTTTGCCAGTAAATTCCTTCAAAAACGGGCGGGTTATTGTCCTGTTCTGTTACATGAAGTGAGAGTGAGGTGTTTTTTAGCCTGATATACTTACTGAAATTTAATGATTATACAAACAAATTTCACAGACAAAAATGCGTTAAATCTATGTATGACTCTTTTGCTGTAAGTAGTGGATGGATCATGATGCTAAATAAACTGGGTAGCGATCTAAACCAGTGACATTACCATTTTCTTTTCCCAAACGGAACTTTCTTCATAATTATTCCCTCACTGAAACTTCCAAAATACTGCTTTCTTTCTCTCTCTCACGACCTCTCTCCTTCCCCTCTTCCTCTCTCCCTCACTCTCTCTTCGTCTCTCTCTCTTTTTGGTCTCAACAGCAACAGCGATAAATACACCCTTTCTTCAAAAATTTCAATATAAACAGGGTGAGCTTTTAGTGTATGGCCGTTATTAAAAAATAAACATATCAAGAAAAACTATTTCCAAAAACTACAAGCAATTTGAGGATCGGTACTTAAAAAACTGCTACCGCTCACTACAGGCTGATCCATAACTACGTGCCAGTACAAACATGTATTTTTTTTAAATGGAATACCCTGGACATTTTTAGTAAACTCTGAAAGACATCTTCAAAGCAAAGAGGTTGACATCGGCTTTGAATCGCTATTTTTGTCACTTTCGCGCCTAGAGTAGCAAAATGAGCTTCATATCTGTTAATTTGTCGTCATTTAAATGTCTATTTTTTAGCTGAAGGTGCTCTTTATGCAAGGTGTTTATAAACGTAAAATGTACTTATAGAGTTATACTTTTACGGCTTTAAGTTATCTTCTTTTTTGAGAAAAGTAGCGATACACATATACGATAACAAACCTCTTTCTCTAAAGAGGCTCTTCAGAATATACTATAATATATAGGGTATTTATTTGGAAAACTGTATGCATGTGTTACCAGATAGTTATGAATACCTCTGTTACGAAGGTATTGCCCGAATATAAACTAAAAACTCTCCTTTTATAACAATTTTCTGTGAGATTTTAAAATATCGAAACAATCGTCTTCAGAAAAATGAAAATGACACCTGTGCATACAAAAATATTTACAATCTCTAAAATTGATTAAAATATAGACATTCACGTCAAAGATAGCCACGTTTGAATAGATTTTTTTTAAACAAGATTTTTTGTAAAGCGGCTTTCGATGGAACCTGAGATTCTGTAACTTTTCTTTTGATTGAGTCAATTTTTGTACTCATACTGGTGTTTTATGTTAAGGGCTCTTTATCTTCCGCATGCTATGAACTAGCTTGCTTTATTTCATGATTTCCAGTCTACTCCAGCGATTATATTCTCACTGATACATACAGGGTGACTTTTTTGTGAGGTCTTGTTCAATAACTCCAGTATTACGGATGGTATCTAAGAAAGTTAATGACAATGTTTGTTGCCAAAAGTATGCCTCTTACTTGGGATATATTTTTACCTCTACATGGTGATTCATATCTACATGATGACATTCTTAAATGGTTAGCCCAACATTGTATTGCAGATTTGAATAGGTCCTTCCAAACCAAACGATTTAGTTTATCATACTATAGGGTTTTATTCTCAATTTGTTGAGATATTAGACAATCTATCCAAAACCGAGAAACTTGAGCTTATAGCTAGAATTTTTCGCAAGAAAAACTGTATAGCCTCATATTACTTACTTGATTTTTCAGTTCTTTTTTTAAATTTTCCTGTATATTTTACATTCCTTGTTTTCCCTCTTCGCAGGCTTTCTTGTGATAAAAGTTTTAAAGGACTTTGTACGAATGATTTTTGAGTCACATCTAACCTTTTTGTAAATCAGGTATCAAGGTCGGTAACGGCAGATCTTTAGAATTGGTGAACTTTCATCATAAATAAATTCTACCAAATCGTATGCAATAAAGTCGAAAAGTCTATGCGTTATTCCTGTGCCTTAGTATATGATCGGTTCATAGCTCCATTATAGGACGTATTATCTAAGAAGCTGAAATAAGGTAATAAGCTTGGAAAATGTTTCTCTTCACAAGTGATTTATTCCTGGCTCTTTATAAATTGCATATCAAGGTAAAAAAAACTATGTACGAAAACGGCAATAGTATGTAGACGTACCTGGTGCATGCTGGTACTGGATAGAATTCTTGGAACAAGCCACTATAAATGCACTCCTATCACCTCTGTGTCAAAAAATTTGAGAATATGAAGTTTGTATTTAGACTCCTCAAAATAAATTATTTAAAAACACGAAGCGCATAAGTGTATTGAAAAAAAGTACCTATTTATATTGATATCCGATTCACAAAAATATTAGATCAAAAACCAGTCGTACAAACCCCCATAAGCCGGTATATTAAAAGAAATCTAATGGAAAGAGCAATCAATGAATGTAAAAATATGCGGGGTGTTATATTCAAAAAAATTATGAAATGGATTATTTTGCGTGATGGGTCAGCCTGTATAAACTACTGAAGAAACTGAAAAAGTAAGTAAATAGAAAGAAAAAATTGCATTATAAAATTTTTCTGACAAAAAATTCAGCTTTCTACTACTCTAACTATAAGAGTTGACACAGTTGAGTGTCCAATATAGTATGTCATATCAAAATGTCTGGATTCAAATCTGCAGTAACGAGTAGGACTTTCGACTTAAAGAATGTGTTTGGGTTACTACTTGATTATAAATTACCATGGAGAAGTAATAATATTTTCCGAGTCGGGAGCGTTACAATATTTTTTCAAAACTTTCAGATGCCATGCGTGATAAAGGAGTTATCGACCAAGCCTTCCCTAGTCACTCTGTATAGGCTCCGTTATCTATTTGACCCATTAACTTTATGTACTTTCGTGCAGCTTGTGAGTGATTCCAAATATAAAATACACAAAAAATAATTGCTCTTAGCAATGAAGTCTCTGCTTGAGCATGCATCAATGATCTTATGATTATTACAATTTTGATCGTGCTGAAAACAGCACGATTCATAAGGTTATATAAAGACATCATTAAAACTGATATTTACTGCTGCACACGTTTTGTAAGCTCTCCACGGAATGATATTCAATACATAAAAAAGTCTCTTTTCTTTCAGCTACATCTCTTAATATTTCCCTAAACTGCAAGTGATACGAGGCATTTATTCAGAAAGCAACCTGCCGGGAACTCCCATGGAAATTCCGTGAGCGGAACCTAATATTGATTTTGGATAGCGTTTAAATCCTAAAGTAACAGATGTCACCACCAGCAGGAGTTTTAAATTGTTTTGTTTACCGCGATAATCGGTAAGAAGCAATTGATTCTAAGCAGAGTACCTACAGGGTGTAAACGTTATGATATTCATTATTTAAATGGGTGATAGAAGGGGTTAAAAAAAAGCAAAAAGTTTCACATAACATGGGGGTCAAAACGGCATTTTTTTAGGGAAAAGCGGCTTTAAAGTAAAATAAAATCTGACAACGCCGCAAGGCCAGACACAAATTACAACGGAACGCAGTGTAAATAAAGATGGAGTTTGCTATTTTTGGCTCTTAGGTATTATTTCATTATTTCATAATGTACTCGTAAAATGCAAACAATTAAAAAAACGGACTTACCACTAACTAACTGTCTCAGCGCTTCACCTAGTGTGTGAAAGTTTATAGAACGTATTAAAAAATCCACTTATAAATAGGGAACGCAATTTTAATACATACGAGTACATTGTTTTTCTTTTTAAAACCCGCACTGCACTTTTTTATATTTAAAGAAGGTGTTCAAAATGTCGTCCTCCACTTTTCACACAAGCTTCATTACGACGAACCCAGTTTCTTCTTACTCTAGATCCTCGAAGTTGTCCATTTATTATTTCAACCGCATTAAATTTTTTTTCGCGAAGTTGTGCTTCAGTTGTTATTGGACCAGCCTTTTAAGTTCCAGCGATTTGGATAATGTTCATTCAAATACTGAATGATGCATCTAAAAATGTGTGGTGGTGCCCCGTCATGAAGAAACCACAAATTCTGTCTCCGCTGTAATAGCATGTTGTCTAAGTTCTGGTAGGTTATTGGCTAGAAAGCTAAGGTATCCTTCTCCTGACAACTTTGGGGGTAACCCGAATGGGCCAATTACCAGATCGTCAAGAATACCCGCCCAAATATTTATTTTAAAACGTTGCTGAAAATGACCTTCACGAATGGTATGAGGATTTTCTTGGGCCCACATGTGAGTATTATGGAAATTTAATATCCCGTCTCGCGTAAAAGTACATTCGTCCGTCGCTAGAATGTTTTTAAAAAAATGCAGAATGTTAGTCTGCCAGGATATTCTTCTGGTAATAAGACCTGCAATTGTACATGGTACAGACAAAGCAAATTTTCCCGTATGATTCTATGGACTATGGTATGCGATAGTCCTACGCGGCGGCCTAATTCCCGATTGCTGATAACTGCATTGATGTCCACGATATTTAAAATTTGTTCCTCCTGCTCTACAGTAACCTGCCTTTCACGAGTGCGAATATTAGTGGGCTGAACACTTCCTGTATCTCGAAGTCTTTAGTACACTTGCACAAATGTCCTTGTGTCTGGGTGTATCCGTTGGCGAAATCTGTCGCGATAAATTTGAGCTGTAAGATTTGAATTGTGACTAGCTTCACCGTAAACTAAAGACATGTCGGCAAACTCCTGATTCGAGAACATTGTAAATCAAGACAACGACGTACGCGAACAAAAACAAAACAACATACTAACCACTGTTACCGTTTGCGATCGATTGCCGGTTCGATAAGAGGGATGATGACCGACGCGCTGTTGTCATGTGTGTTTTAAATATCCAATTTAATGAAACTTACTTACTTACTGACTACAAATTTTGGCTTAACTTATAAAAACTTAATGCCATTTATTTGTTAATTTTCCAATTTAAAAACGTTTTAGATTAGACTATAAAAATTAGTGAGATTGTCGTGATTGTGGTCGATATAAAGCACTAAAAGTCGTAAACTATAAATCCATTTAGACAAAAATCTGTTGGCTTTTGGACCATGGGTCATATGAACTTTTTGACTTCTTCTGACCCCCCTATTACCCATTTCAATAATGACTACCATAACGTTTACACCCTGTATATCGAAATGTTAAAAATCTATTCAGCCATCCTTGAGCAGTAAGCTGCCTTTTTTAAATTTCGACGCCACTACATTCCTTTTATGATTACAATCACATTGGCGTCAAAATTTAAAAGATTGATTAAAGGAAGTGCTGTTCCGCGCAGACACAGTGAAAGGTGACTATTACCCGCAACCGAGTTGCCAGATCAGTGTCACTATCACTGTGAAATACTCAAATTCAGATGACTCTACAGAAAACTTATGGAGAATAGGTTTGGGTCACCCTGTGAATATATTTGGGTCACTCTTTATATGTGACGCAATCACAAATGTTGTGGAATGATGATGTGGATAAATATGGAAAAGCTATTACATATCGTGTAACGAACTCACAACACTTGGGAGTTCTGTATCTCGGAGATTACTCCTGGAAGAACTTTGGGAACGCCCGTTCTAGGTGTTGAGATCTAAAACATCCTGATTTTGTTCTTCAAAAATTACGCTATTAACCATAAAGGCTCTTTTAAGAAGTATAAGAAGGCAATATTTCACAGTGAAAGTGCGGCGCTGACGGATTTTAACAAGAGTGCTACTAGTCTCGTATTTTGACCTCAGACTTGATCGCCGGTGGCGGCCTCTTGTTGCTGCCTCAGCTGCAACAGGTTTGTAAATCGAAAACATGAGAGGGGTAAAAGAAAAATCATAATGCATGAAAGGCTTTAATAAATTACAAGGTGAGCACATATGAATAAGGGTTAGTGACTAGCATAATTTGAAAGCTGGTGATGCAAAGAAAGTTCCATTGTTTTCACTCGACGCTTTGGAGAACATTGAAGTACGCATACGCTGTACGCATTATCTACAAAAAAAAAAATATATATATATATATATATATCCACACATACATAGCTTTTCAGAAAGATTCTCCTTCATGACTTATTTTTTGAACAGGTGAAGTTGGGAAGCTGAAATTCGGGGTGATGAAACTGATTCAGGAATAATACACTTTGACATAAAAATAAAAAGTAATATAGCTATGGAAACAACAGTTGATAATTTCAAGATGGCAGCTGGACATCATCTTGGTATATTGTTATTGTTATTATAGAGCTAGAATGCACAACCACTATCCTTCAAAATGGCGGTCTGGCAGCCTGCCAAAGTTGTGCGGTTTTGTACATTGATCCGCTAATAGCGCAACAATCTCTCAACTAAGCCTTAAAGCAGCGTTCTTCAACGTGTGGGACGCGCCCCCCTGGGGGTATTCTCGGTAAGTTGTATGATTTGTAATTAAGGTTGTACTGTAAGTTTAGGGTCAAAATACTCAAGGTACATTATTATTGTATACACACATTGTTATTGTGTGAAAATAATCATTGAAAATTGTGTCGCGAATGATGAAAGGTACCTTAGAGTATTGTAACGAAAACACCGTTTCACTATTCAAAATCTAATGTTTACTACTCTTAATTCGACTCGACCGAGTCTCCACTGTGACTAGATTCATCCGCCATCTGGCCGGGCATATATCCACCCATCGACGCATCGAAAAATGTTCTAACGTTTTCCACTCAGAGTCGTGAACTTCCACATAAGTAGTCTAGTTTAGATGATAGCAAGTATCTCCAGACGGATCACGAATACTCACGATTGCGTCGCGAGTCATTCAGATTGCAAGCACGCTCGATACATGATAGCGCAACTCTGGTTGCTTAAGCGTCGCCCATTCTTTTGGAATGGTATATGCAATAAAATATGGGCCACATAGGGTGGATTTCACCATGATTGTCAAGTTAACAAGCCGCTATTTTCCAGCTATAGGGTAATAGTCCGTCAAATATAGCGAATGAGCTTTAAGATCCATTCAACAAATTTTAGCGACCAATAGCTGTGAAATATTCAAAACATGATAGCTTGTCATCGAAACATCACCAGTTCTGCGGTGTGCGGTGTTGCCTTTACTGTTTTACATTTTGCTAAAATCTTATGAAAAATAGAAGCTTCAAATAAAATATTGACGAAAATGAATGGGTATGTATAGAATTCACAATATAAATTTATATTTCAAGTTTCAGATTGTCTATACATGGACTTGAACCGGAATGTTAGGTATTTTTACCTAAATGTATGTATTTACCGAAAACGTCATTTTCCACGATTTTTCAGGATAATTCAAATATTTCCATACTTGGCAAAAAAGTGCTGGAACCAAAAATAAAGCTAAAAGTGAATTTTATGTAATCTTCCTAGTTTTATGCCCCATACCAATCATACATATGCACACTCAGGCAGTCGGGCATACGAGAGGAGTAGATTTGGGTTGCCTATGATTACGAACACACATGCTTATTTCTTACTCCGCTTGAACTGAACTGATTTTTGTGCATACAAAAGATACAGACTGCTAGGTTATTACCCCATCACCGGACAAGCAATAAAGAGACCGAAACCTGCCTGTTTTCAAAATAAACAATTAATTAAAATGTTCATGAGTTCAGGGGCAAAACAGAAAAATATTCATAATCAGGAATCGAAAAAGGAGCTTCCAGAGTGGTTGCAAAGGACTTTGAAAGATCGACCAGCATGCACATTGTACAAGTTGTAATATAGAACTATGCCCTCAAAAACATGTTGTGTACACGCTCAATATAATGATAATCTTTTTTGATAAACGGTGCTGCGTGACTCAAAGGTCCTTGATCTACCACTGATCTTCGGACGGCATTTTTCCTATACCGAATTCAACGGTTCAAAAACACTGCAGAAACTTCAAAAGCAATTAGGATTCCAGCTCAAAATGAAGTATAACAAGTTGTTCAAATACTTTGGTAAATAGGAATTTTTCTTTTAATAGATGAATGCGGATACATTGACAAATATCAATATTTTAGGACCCAGGAACGCAGAATGTTCTGTTTGTTTACATTTGGTGTGGATTTCTAGATCATAAATTGGTAATAAATTGTTTTTGATGTAACAACAGATGATGAACCAGTTGGAATACGTTTCATATCCTTTTTTTTAAAATCGATACATTTCTACAGGTACGTATTATGTACAACACCCTGTATGTAATGTAGAGGCGAAACTAGAGCATGCTTGAACAGCCATCAAAAACAGTGAAAACATCCTATTAAATATAATAGCTATAAAATCGACCTAGTATTTCTTGCATTTTCATTGGTCCATCCAAATAGGTTCCCGTCTTTTGTGAAATGATAGAAATTGCCAATTCTATGAAAGTTATCCTAATTTTAAAGCTCAATGATATGGTATTACACCCAGAATATACCCTTATTTATAAAACAACCACTCTTTCACGATTTTATTCAGTACTTCAATAGAAATTACTGATATTAGGAGAGCTTTGACAGCTTCCATCAAATTGCATTTCGATAAGCTGCTCCCTCATTGGTGGAAACCTACATCAAATTAAAATCTTGGTGAAATCGACTCTGAGTTTAAAGGAACGCCCTGTAAGAAGGGTTTTGACAACATTGTCATTTGCGAGCTATAAGTTTTCAGAGATTTGTTGGCGAGAAAAAGTTTTTAAAAGATGGAAGTTGGCCCAGGAGGATCAACAGACGACGCAGTTCCACATACTATGAGGAAAGAGCTGAGCGGTGGCGGAAACCAAGCAGAATCAGAAAACATGAGCACACTGACGCAAATGTCATCGGAGCAGAAAACGAACGAAAAACTGATGCTGATTATAGACGACCAGGCGAGGCAAATTCGAGACCTAATGGAGACCATCAAGGACCAGACAGCCAAAATTGACAGCCTGACCGCCCAGGTAACCATATTACTAAATTCAAAAGAATCCCCTAAAGAACAGACAAAGACCCTAAAAAGACCACTGAGAAACGTTACTGATGATCATCTCACATCCATAGACGAAGACGTACAGATCGAAGGATTTGTGAAAGCAAAATCAAGAAGGAACCCAAGACTTTCCTCCTCTTCCGAATACAGGATCAATTCCATTTCACACCCAATTCATCAAATCGAACCACTATTAATGCTTCTACTACCAAGCAGGGACCACGTTATCTACCTGTCAGGTGACTCCGTCAGCCGATGTTACTTCCCCTCCGTCATCTCGTCCAACGGTCGTGGCATCAACACAACCCTCACGACAAGGGCGCATAACCCCGATCGTCTTACGCGACGGGTCGAGATGGCGTACTTTAAATTTCAAGTTTATTTTCCTAGGTATTAAAATAGATCGCGCGGTTGCCGTTGATGCGGGAATAAGGATTATTCCTAAATCCGAGGACGACTACCGTAAGATCGTTCGCCTATTCCGAGAGGAAGAAGTGCCCCATCACACTTTTCCTCTCCCTTCGGAACGGAACATTCATGCGGTGGTTCGAGGAGTTCCCGTCAACTTTTCGGATACTGAGATTAAGGAAGAATTGGAGCAGAGGGGATATAGCCCCTTTGGTGGTCGTGATACTGCCCAAGACTGAAAAGTCTCAGCAAGTGTTCAACGAACACGAACTGCTGGGACTGCCCATTCGAGTTGAGGTTCAGAAAAACTCCAGACTCATTGGGCAGTGTCACCGCTGCCAAAAGTATGGGCATCCGCAGTCATATTGCACTGCAGCGCCCAAATGCTTAAAATGTGCAAAGGACCACATGACGCATTTGTGCCCTCTCACAGAAGAGGAAGAACGCAAGTGCGCGAACTGTGGAGAGGGACTTCCCGCAAATAGCCGGACTTGCAAATTCACTCCAAGGAGGAACTTGCAAGTTATAGCGCAAAGGCGCAACATATCATACGCGGACGCAGCTCGGGAGGCAAACTTGCCTGCCCCCTCCGCCAACCTCCCTTGAGCACGCAAAATGTGGACCTGGCAACCGCGCTAAGGTCCTTACAACGAATAATAAGCCCACTGATTAGCGCTACCCAAGCGTTGCAGGCGATATTTCCTGTAAATGTCTAGGTACAATAGTAGACAGCCTGCATTCATCAAAATTCTTTTTTGGAATTGTTTGGGCATGAGGAATATTCCCAAAAAACGGGAATTTCATCAAGCTCTTTTGGATGAAGGTATAGATGTGGCCTTGCTGCAGGAAACGTTGCTTAATCCGGGAGATCGTTTAGCTCTCCCGAATTATGATATTATCCGAGGTGACAGATTGAATGGCCGAGGCGGCGGTTTAGCAGTGTTGATTAAGCGCGTTATAGACTATTATAGAAGCACTAATGCGGAGATGCATAGCATCGAAGCAGCTTCTGTGGTGGTCAATATGGCGGGAGGTGTCTCGTTGAAGATCACATCGGTGTATGTCAGGTGTGGTGCCAGGCTACAAGAGGCGGATCTGGAGGTCCTTTTGGACTACTCGGGTCCGCTTATTGTGGCAGGAGACTTCAACTGCAAACATCGAGCATGGAATTCTAGATTGAATTCCACTAGTGGGGTTCGATTGTACAACCATGTGATGCGAAATGGGTACCTTATACATAGCACTGAAGAGCCGACACATCATCCATTCAACCATCTTCAGGCACCAGATGTCATCGATTTCGCGATATCTAAAAACTGTAGATACAGTATCTCTTCTCGAATCTTGTATGATATCTCTAGTGACCATCTACCTGTTGTCTTGGATGTGGTCAATGAGCAAACTTCTGAGGAGGCAGCTCCTCCAAGGAAACGCATTGATTGGGACCTATACAAGTTGCTCCTTAGAGAGTTTCCCAATATCCCGATTATAGATGATGAGTCTGGAATAGATGCGGCTCAAGCGGAGTGGACAAGTTTCATTCAAGCAGCCCTACAGCGTGCAGCTGTACTTCCTGTAGAACGACACGGCAGACCTTTTTTGCCTGCGGGCATTCGTCAAAAAATCTCTGACAAAAGAGCCGCTATTAAGCAGGCAAAAAGGTCTTGTCATCCTGATGACATTCGCAGGGCTACAAATCTTGTCCATGAAGTGAGAAACGCACTGCACGAAATCCGCAACGAGCAATGGAGCGACTTTCTGGCGGGAATGCTTGATTCAAGTATTCCTCTCTGTAGGGTTGCAAAGTCACTCAGAAACGGAAAGCGAGAACAACTCCCACACATCCAGGGTCCTGAAGGCATAGTCTTTAGAACGGAGGATAAGGTCGAGGTTTTCGCTGATGCCATGAAAAAACAGTTATCTCCCAACTATGATCTCGAAAATGAACTCGACGAGGAACAGCACATCGTGCGATCCGTCAGGAGATATTTTAGAGCCAACGGCGTTAGCGGAGGCACTGAATCCTCTTCAGATGACTCCTCTTCAGAAGATTCGTCGGAGGCTCCACATAGCACATTAGCGGAACCCTCCGAGTTTCCACATTGCACACCTGCGGAGTTACTAAGTCATATTAAAGACCTCAAGGTGCGTAAAGCACCTAGGGAGGATCAAATCACCAACAAGGCGTTGAAGCTGCTCTCGCCGAAAGCCCTGACATACTTGGTGACAATAATCAATGCGACGCTCAAAGTCCAGTACTTCCCTGCTGGGTGGAAGACTGCTGAGGTCATCATGATTCCAAAGAAGGTGGGTTCGATATTTCCTCAGGATTACCGTCCCATAAGTCTGCTGTCAGCTCCTTCTAAGCTCGCCGAAAAGGTGATTTATCATCACCTTGAGAATTTTTCGTCAAATCACCATGTGATTCCTGACGTCCAATTCGGTTTTCGGTCCGAGCATAGCACCGAGCTACAGGCAGTCAGGCTGGTGGAGCATGTAACCAGAGGGTTCACCCTCAGCATGATTACTGGCATCTTGCTTTTGGATGTCTCAAAAGCCTTTGACAAGGTGTGGCATGCGAGCCTCCTCTATAAACTAATCCAAAAGGGTTTTCCTTTTTGGCTTCTAAAATTACTGAAATCCTTTCTTGAAGGAAGGAAGTTTCGGATCAAAATTAACAATGTTTTGTCAACATCACGGCCAGTACGGGCCGGAGTTCCTCAGGGTTCGGTCCTAGGACCAATTCTTTATTCGCTTTTCATCCATGATGTCCCTTTCCCCAGCAACTGTGAAGTCTACCTCTATGCTGACGACACTGCACTTGTAGCCCAGTCGTGTACTGGTGATCTGGTTCACGATGGGTTGCAGAATGCGGTGGACGAAGTTCTAGAGTGGGCGGAACGGTGGCTGATAAAAATTAATCATTTGAAAACGCAGGCTATTTATTGTACCAAAAAACGTCGCGGCCCCCCAGCAGAGGTTTCTGTAGACGGAAATCGTGTACCATGGACAAATTCTGCCAAGTATCTCGGTGTCACCCTTGATAAAGGCATGACCTGGCAGAAACATACAGCATCGATAAAAACAAAATTCCATATTGCGTTTCGGCAACTATATCCTTTGTTATGTAGATCCTCCAAATTGAGTTTGATAAACAAAGTTCGACTATATAAAATGATTATTAGACCAGCCATTACTTATGCATGTGCGGCTTGGTGTTTTCTTGCCAAGACACACATGCAAAGTCTTCAAGTACTGCAAAGCAGAACTTTGCGGACAATTTGCAACGCTCCATGGTATGTCTCAAATGAGACACTACACAGAGACCTTGACATTCCTTACTTGAGGGATTATGTCAAGCTTCAGGCGCAGCGACGTTATAGTCAAGCGGAATCGCACAGCAACCCTCTGTTGCGTGACTCAGTGGACTACACAGTGGAGCAAGTTCGTAAACATTCAAGGCCACGGCTCGCACTGTAATCAAAAGTTATCGTGAATCTTTAGTAAACTCAAAATTACACTCTAACAAAACCGAATCAAAAAATTTGTTTAGTTCACCTCAAAATTAATCCGTGTACCAAGTCAAAAAGCCTAGGTGTTTCCTCTTAAACTAAGCATGTCTGTTTTTCTTTGTTCTTCTCCTTTTTTCTTCTTTCCCTTTCTCTTTTTCCTTGACTTTGTCTGGTTTCTGGGCAACCAGGACTGACAGATTCGACTAACGTACATCAGATAGTGACTAATGGGCAAAGGTCCTACGGACCGCCCAGACAAATAAATGACGAATAGTTCTGAGTTTAAAAGAAAATTTGACAGATTTTTGACAATTTGCTTATACGGAGTGTTCTCAACGTCGTTGAGTGTTTCACATTTCGTTACGTATCCGGATAGACCCTCCCAAGAAGATTGATGTAAGATACCATAAGGTTTTGATGAGCGATTGTTGAGTTAGCAGCGACTAGATGTCCAAAAATACCCAACTTGAACAGCCTGCAGTCCACCATTTTGAAAGATATACGATTCTTTGAGTTATATCGTTTAAGTATTGTGATTTATGTTAAATGACTTTAAATCTAAACATGTATACTTGTATAGACTCAAGCACTAGTAGGCAATGGTTACAAATCCCATGTATTATTGCACGACTCTATTCTTACTCATGATTGTCAATTCAATTTTTGGCTGAGTTGAAAAATACCCTAAGCTAACACCCCGCGATTACGATTCTTTTGTTTCAAATTTTGGTACCTCAGATTACTCAACATAGAAATGTATTTATAAATTAATGTATTTATAAATAACGTTCCATTTGAAAAAATGTTTCAGCATATCACCCATACGCCATCTCCAAGTTGTCAACTACCTATTTGATACTAAAACATAGAATCCATACATTAATTTCATCGCCCCCCATTTATGCTTGCCAAGTTAACCCGTTACAAGAATAAGTAGGGTGGGATCTCTTTGAAAAGCACTGTAATAAATTATAAGAAACTGAAATACCTGAACAAATAATGGCAAGCTCATTGTAAGCGTCCCTCCAACTAATTTTATGGTAATCTGTTTCTTTGAAAACACCATAAACAGCAACAATGTTCTTTTATGAGAATCATCAGTGTTGATCCATTTCGAGCTGAATAAGGAATAGGGAATATCTTCACTCTGCAAAATAAAAGTTCTGTTTAGCGATCGGCCGATATTATGAGTATCTACATATCGGCCGATATCCATATGAGCATCTACATATCGGCCGAATCGGCAAAAGTTCGCTGATAAATGATCGAATGATAGGATCCATATACCGATGAGAAGCTAGCTGAAAGGAATTACATTACAATTACAAAGCTGATATATAAACTTCTCCTATACGAGGGCGGTTCAATACGTACCCGTGTTAGAAATGAAGACACCATTTTTCCCAAAAAAAAAAAACATTTTATTTTCCAACATAACCCCCTTTCAGAAAGATACACTTTTTCCACCGTTCCGGCCATTTTTTTAAACCCCCTCAAAAAAAAAACGATTTATCGAACTCTCCAAAATACGCATCTGTCTCGGCGATGACTTCCTCGTTTGAGCTAAATTTTTCCCCGCGAGACATTTCTTCATGTCAGGGAACAAGAAAAAGTCGCAGGGGGCCAGACCGGGTTAATACCGCGGCACTTCATAACGCAATTCATGCAGTTTGGCGGCGACAACACCGGATGAATGCGCTGGTGCGTTATCGTGGTGAAACAGCACCTTGCTTTTCGTCAAATGTGGCAGTGTCTCCTTCAATTTTTGTCGAAGCGGACCAATAACTCACTATAGTATTGTCAAGTGATCGTTCTTCCTTTTTCTAAAAAATCCACGAGGATGACGCCGTTCGCATCCCAAAAAATCGTCGCCATGACCTTTTCGGCCGATGAGACCGTCTTCACCTTCTTTGGAGCAGATTCACCGGGAGAAATCTATTATTTTGATTGTTGCTTAGTTTCTGGTGTGTAATGATGAATCTGGGTTTCATTGACGGTGACAACACGACGCAAAGACTCCTTCGGATTCCACTTAAATTGCTCCAAACACTGCTTCGAAGTTAAGCGCATCCGCTTGTTGTCCACCGTGAGCAATCGCGACACCCATCGGGCCGACACTTTTTTCATAGCCAACTTACCATGTAAAATATTGATGCCGTTTCAATCGACACACGTACAGCCTCTGCTACTTCGCGCACTTTCGTTTGTCGATCAGCGAGAATCATGTCGTGGACTTTTTGAATGACTTCCTCGGTAACCATGGACGCCCGGCAGTCCTTGTCGATCCTCTGCAAAAACGGATGTTCGCCCACGTTTAAATTCGTTGAACCAATATCTAATTATGGTCATAGATGGCGAAGTGTTCTTAGAAACAGCATCCAACTTTGCTTTCATCTCCTCGCATGTTTTCCCATCCAAAAACAAAAAGCGAACGATACTGCTCTTCTTCCATCTTAGCGAAAATCACGAAACACGTGTTACTGCCAAATCCAAACTAACTTATCAATCAGTCTGAAATTTGTTGTGTCGTTGTTTGATAGATGGCAGCACACGATGATACCATTAACTTCCCTCAGGAACGCCCTCTGTCCTCAAACACGGGTACTTATTGAACCGCCCTCGTATATTCATGAATTAAGTCAGTGTAACATATCTTCTTTTCTTTTACATGGGACACTAATTGCAATTCCGACAATGTCAGTATTTCGTATGGAAATTTCGTCGAAATGTTTCCAGAAGGCGGGCTTGGCGCTTTTTTTTCGTAGTTATAACATTTTCATACTGTATTTAACTTGACGCAACCGAAACCAATCACGTAAGCTACGATTCACCTTGAGGACATCGAAACTTGGAGAGATAGTATTCTGCAACTTCAGGTCCCAAGTATTATTTCTTATTTTAACTGTGATATGTATGAAGAATTTTTGATCTGCCTTCACAACTGATGGATACATTGACGACATTGACGAGAAAAAAACGGTTTCAACATTTTGAAGACATTCTCAAATTGATAGGATTGCTGTGGTACTTCAAGCCCAAAGGATCTACAAAGAGAATATAAGTGGCTATAACCGGCCGCGTGGTTGTGGTTAGACGTCTCCTTGAAAAATCGAGGTCGTATAGCCATTTTATACTACAATGTGTAGGTTGGCTCTTGTTGTGGACTTCGTGTGTCGTTTTTTTTTCCTCCAACTTCGTTTCCTCAGGTTACACCCGTATCCGGATGTGTGGGCATGTGTATCTATACTAAGTGACATATAAATCCGAACACCCAGTTTAAATGGTTTTATTTTAATAAAAGTTGGTGAATGTATTTATCTTACTGTAGATAACAAGTGAAAAAAATTTCAGCCTTATCAGTTGGACATTCCGGTTTTTATACTGCTTTTTTTTAATTCACTAACGCTCTAAAAATGAATATTTCAGCCGCAGTAAAGAATCAACGTTGGCGGATTTTGGTGCAGAAGAACTGCAACTTCTCCCCCCAGAGCAATTCGGCTTGAGATCCTCCCACAACACGGAACTCCAAGCGCTACGACTGACAGAAAACATCACCAGCGGCTTCAATCTCCAGGAGGCAACCGGTCTCGTCCTGCTGGACGTGGAACGAGCCTTCGATCGAGTCTGGCACGATGGACTCATCGCCAAAATGGAAGCCGCCGGAATCGATGCGAACATGTCCCAACTGATCCAGAGCTATCTAACACAAAGATGGTTCACGGTGAAGATTGGTACATGCCATTCAACAAGACGACAGCTGGAAGCAGGCGTGTGCCCCAGGGGTCAGCCTTAGCCCCCCTGCTCTACAACATCTATACTCACGATGTGCCGAAGACAGCTGACACAATGCTGGCCCTATATGCAGACGACACTGCTATAGCCGCCAAGCATCGACGACCCGAGATCATCCGTAGGAGACTACTGGATGAACTGGACCACATCCAGGACTGGTGCGTGAAATGGAAAATCCGCATAAACGTCCAGAAGACGCAGGCAATCTTCATTCAACGAAGAAGGATTGCAAGACCTTTCGAAGCATCCATCTTCGACGAAGATATCCAGTGGAGCGACAAAGTCAAATATCTGGGGATCGTATTTGACAAGTCCCTCACCTGGAAAGCCCACATAGAAGCTGTCATCGCAAAGACCAGAGCAGCCATGGCTCAACTCTACCCATTACTGGGTAGACACAGCCGGATGCCGCTAGCGACCAAGCTACGGCTGATCAAGGCCATCGCCAGACCTCAGCTCGCTTACGCCTCCGCGGTCTGGGGGTACGCTGCCCCCAGCTACCGCAAGCGACTTGCTGCTCTAGAGATGAAGCTACTCCGGATCGCCACCAGTGCACCATCCTACGTAAGAAACTCAACCTTGCGTAGAGACCTGCATTGGGACACCATCCACGAGTACATGAGGAAAAAAGCGGAGAAGACCTTCGAGAAAGCTCAGGACCACCCGAACGAGCAGCTACGATTCCTCATGGACTACGATCCGGACGAGAGGCCTCGCAACCGCAGAACCCGAGAACAAGGTCCCAGTTGGCACCCGCTAACTGGAACCTTGACTAGGAGACTAGGAGAACCCGCGGTTGCTCCCCCCCCCACGGCGTGGATGCAGAGGACCAGGAACCACCGGGACCAGGAACCACCGGGACCAGGAACCACCGGGACCAGGACCCACCGGGACCAGGACCCACCAGGACCAGGACCCGACAGGACCAGGACCCGCCACGACCAGGACCCACCAGGACCAGGACCCTTCAGGACCAGGACCAGGAACAACATATTGGTAAGAGGACTTGAAACTCTTGATTTTTCGTAAACAAGAGTTTCAAGAGAACCTATCAGACCCTCTATCGATGATCGCTTAACGACATCGATAGAATGTGCGAGGTAAAGGGAACCAACCCGGCGTTCCCAGAGACTGAAACACATGAGGAGACGTTGTAGCAGACCGCAGGTCACGCACAACACATGGCCTACCGAGACGCTGATGAGTCGGGCCACGCGGAGGTTTAGTGGGTATTAGGTGGTAGGTAAAAAATTAAATATAGAGTACGGAGACCTGTACGATTTCGTCAACTTAGTGAGTTTGATAGGGGCCGTATAGTGTGACTTCGGGAAGCTGGACTTTCTTTTCGGGCAATTGCAGTTAGAGTGCAAAGAAGTGTAGACACTGTGGTTAGGTGTTGTCAGGCATGGCTTCGAGAAGGCCGTACGCAAAAAGCAAGGGGCACTGGACGCCGCCGTAGAATAACAGACCGTGAAGATCGCCGGCAGGCACGATGGTCGTGCCAGGGTTAGAAGGCGACGTGGTGAAAGGAGGAATCCACAGTTTTTTGTTGAAAGACATGTTCATCACACTGTTGGAGTTATGGTTTGTGGTGCTATAGCTTATGGTTCCAGGTCACCTTTAATCTTCATCAGAGGTAACATGAACGCGCAGCGTTATATCCACGAAGTTCTAGAACCCCATCTTTTACCCTATCTTGACACCCTGGCAGATCCAACTTTCCAACAAGATAATGCCCGACCACATGTTGCAAGAGTCACAATAGGCTTCTTTCAACATAATGATGTCACATTGTTACCATGGCCACCAAGATCTCCCGACTTATCCCCAATTGAGCACGTGTGGGATATGATGGGTAGGAGACTGCTCAATTTGCAACGTCCTCCTCAGACTCTAGAAGCACTTCGAGAGGAGTTGGTGGTTGCCTGGAATGAGATACCACAGGAGGACATTGACCACCTGATCAGAAGCATGCCTAGGTGCGTTGGAGAATGCGTAGCACATCAGGGTGCATCCACATATTATTAAAGGTCAAAGGGCTTTAAAGCATTGCAATCATTTTGAAATTTTTATCATTTACTTATTATGCTTCATTAAGTACTTATACAAAATTTTATTAAAATAAAACCATTTAAACTGGGTGTTCGGATTTATATGTCACTTAGTATACTTTTGTAGTTTCATATGTGCATTCATTTCGGGCCTGATGAAGCCATCCAGCAGAAATACGTTTCGCTCTGGTTACCTATCCTATTTTCTGCTCGAATCCACTTTCCTCCTTTTTGCGGATTTTGCCCATTATTTTCCTACTTGTTGATATATATATATATATATATATATATATATTAATTGTATTTCGTTGTGCAAATGTATTAATAATGATAGATTAATATTTGTATTTTTTATGACATGTTAAAATTTTCTTTTCCAATTAAATGTTTTTTTTTATAAAAAGAATCTTATTTTCAAGTATCTTTAATTACAAGGAACAATTGGATGTCGTCACTAAAACAATCATTGAAATGGTTTCAAAGCACTTGCTCAGTCCATTTGCTTGATATCTAAGGGGCTGGGGTATAAAAAATGGACCAACAAATCTGCTGGCAACATCCATAATCATAATCTACAACCTTTTCTGAGCTTAAAACTATTCACAAAATGCGGTTCTCATATGTTACACACTCAACTCCATCCAGCGCCCGGTCCATTACGGACATCCCGTAAACCCAAGTATACGTATATCGGAGCATACACGGAAAAAGGAACGACCGTACATCGGTATTTGACATATTTGTATCGGCCGATTATTTATCGGTATCGGCGATGATTGTACTCGTATATCGTTCGATCTCCAGCTCTAGTTATTCTAGAGAAGTCAATCAATATGAAATAAGGAAAAGTATTTAGTTTAAAAGAATGTATGAATTGATATTGTATATTATAATTTTAATAGATACACCATGGCTAAATAGAACAAAGCTCTGGTACTATTAACAGCGCAAAATGCTACTTTGCTGTCCGCCAGCGTTGCACTATTGTACCATAAAAGTTTGATGGCATTTGACTTTCTGCCAACACGGAAGAGTTGCATCATCCGCCCGACAGAAACCAGTAGCGAGCATTTTTGCTACTTTGTTGCTATAGAACGGCATAGTCGGTTGTAGTAGTTTTCAATTCTAGCGATCCCAAGATTCTCGTGATCTAATGATTTGAAGGCAGGCATAATAATATTTTCGGTTGTGTATTTTCGTAAAGTGAATGCTATGTTTACCATTCATTGCAACATTGTAAGCAACAATTTCTAGTTTTATGATTCATGAGTCATGACTTATACTTCTAGATGTAACATAAAATAGTCTTCTCTCACCTCAGTGGCTAAGATAGTCCCATAAAAGCAATGTATATAAATGATCGCTACAATACAACTCATATATGGAACCAAAAACGCCAGCTCTATAAACTTGACCTAAAAGGGTAAAATTCTATAGAACGCACTCGCTTCCAGTGTTACGCTTTGCTCTTACCTTGACTATCAACGAAAATGTTGTACAGGTGTTTAATACTCCAGCGACGATCACTGCAGACAGACCAATTTTGCATATATGATGTAGTCTCTTCGTAAACCTGAAAATAACTCGTCACCTGTCTTGTAACCAATCAATATTAACGAGCCAGTTAATTCATCAGAACCAAAACAGTGTTACGTTATCTACTATTTCCAGAAATCCTCGATGACCTCTTTTTGACTGTTTGCCCAATAACGCATAGCTTGCTTTTATATGCCACTTAACTGGATTCAGTGATGTTTTGCAATGACTCAAGCGTTACAAACATATGATCAATTATTCTTAATATCTGTCGCAGGTTTTTGGAAAAATAGCAACGAAGTCTCTGAATCGTCAAAAAACATTCATTTTCAACTAGTACCTCCAATGCTATTAAAATCCGAACTGTGAACACCTTCTGAAGATGCCAACCACTCATGTTGGCGAAACGTCAAATAAAAATATTTTACGACGGCCTAACTACCCAAAAACCGACCAAATAAAATTGGATGGTACCCACGAAAGCCTTTCGCATTTCAACTTAAATTTTATTATAATTTTATTTTGAGGTCATTAATGATGATTGATCGTTCTACCATCTACTACTGTAATATAAACTCTTTGTAATTAGAAATTATCTTCTACTTTTCAGTTCGTTTAGCTATAAGAGCGTGTCTTTTAGTTTTCATAAACTATTATTTATTTTTAATTTTTTAGTACCATCTATCAATTAGCTTTTTGTGTACATGTGGTATTGAAATGTCTTACGAATCGTTTCGTAATACAATCATTTCATTTAAAGCTTCACTTTTGCTTTGGGTTTTTCCTGTTCACTTAGAGCAATCAAGTTCTTCGATCCGAATACCGTCTAAAGATCTTACACGACTAAGTGCTACATAGGCTTGTCTAGCAACAAATAATCGCCAGGATAGGTGAATGACTGCATGATCGACTGTACAACCTTGCATCTTGTGGACGGTCAAAGCCCAACTCAGGATTAATGACAACATTCGTCTCTCAGCAGTTCCATAGCTGTATTTCGCTGGAAACAGTATCGATATCTATTTAGTCATGTACTCACCACCTGAACCGGAATCGATACGGACAATAAGAAGCTTTTTGTGAATCACAATTATTGTATATTATAAGTAGCTGCGCATGTATAACGAATAAACAAGGTGAGAATGCACCACCTTGAAAAAGTATCTGCCTCAATCGTGCTGTGTCGAGTGGCCGAATCAACAAAGAGTAAGTCCGAAATTACACGCATGCGCATATCGCGCGCCAGCTCTATATCGCTTACTCCCCTGCAGATGATCTATAAGAATTTATCAATCCTGGAGGTACTAATAAGGATGATGGAAAACTGTTATCAAATTATTGCATTGACATCGGTCCTTGATACGTGTGCGAAGTTTCAAATTAATCAAACTGCTGGAAATTGGTGAAAAGTATGCTAAAAGATTCCGTTAAGGTGCGTTTAAATTAGTGCGAACACGAGCGAACGAACGAACGAACGAATGAATTCGGTAGCTGTCTCCACATTTTCATCGAACTAACATTCGCATTCGCAAATGATCCGTGGAAACTCATCATGTCGTCGGAAACAGATGACGACGTTATAATTAGTGCTGCCAGTTTTGTAGTTATAGCGGGCCTTTCGCAAAAACTTAAAAAAAATAAAAGAAAATGGTGTTCTAATTTGTTAAAGAGAAGAAACCACACCGGGGGCTTTGTTAATGGATTTAACAAGCGATAACTTGGGCCAAATAACAAACTTTAGTAGAATGTCTGTGACAGATTTGGAATTTTTGCTAAATTCAATTGGATCTACCATTTCCAAGCAAGACTCAAGTTTCAAAAAGGCAATTACTGCAAGAGAAAAAATGCTGTTAACACTCCGATTTTTGGCAACAGGTGATTCCTATACTAGCCTAAAATATTTGTTTAAAATTTCTACTTCTACAATATGCTATGTTATTCCTGAAGTGTGCAGTGCGCTAATCCATGCTTTAAAAGAATATGTCAAGAAGAGTTAAATTAATTACTATTCATTTAGCTGTTGTGAAAAATATATTAGGAATTTCAACTATACATTACAAAATGTAACAATAATTATGGCTTAAACTGAGTTAAATAATCAGCTAATCTGTCAGTAATGTTTCTGTCGTCCATGGTATCTTCCGCTGCAGGGGGACATGTCCCATAATAATCATTTTGTGGTGATGAATGGCTTTCCGATGAATACGAACTCGGCGAAGGTTGTGGAGTACTTGTTGTGCATGACTTATGAATGACACTATTATTGTTATTGATGGGTTGTGTGATTAACTGGGAAGCACTGTGTGGCTGCTGTGTGTATCTTGCTAGGTTGAAGCCAATGGATGTCGGGTAAGTTTGTTGATTCGGAGGAATATCGTATTTTCCCATATCCGCTTCAAAAAGGATGTTATTAATGAAATGTTGTACGATATTTTTGCAGCGATCTGAATAGCGGTCCATTTTATTTCCTATATGCTGCCCATATACATATATGATTGTCACTTTTGGCAGTCCTTTTGGCAGCAATTTCTTTTAATATAGAATATGCCTCGTCAATTCTTGTATCACGTATGGGTCTTTTTCGTTTTGGCTGTTGAGGGGCGGCGTTGATTGTATCGATATTAGATTGCTGGTTTTCACCTTCAACGATTTCACTCTGTATTTCTTCATTAATAACAGAGACACTGTCCTCACTTTCATTTACTCCACTCTAAAAGAAGAAGAAATTAAATGTATGGCTGCAAGAATAGCGATATTAAACATTTATATATTTATATATTTTTTCTTAATTCTGGGATTTCGGGGAAATATGACCTAAAGAAGCACATTGTTTGATGTTTTGGTTTGTTTGGTTGAACCGTTTTCAGAATAAATATCTTAAAAGCCTGTTTTAAAACGAAACGTCAAGCAATTTGTTTCTTTGGTTCATATTTGACCGAAATCCCAAAATTGAGAGAAACATATTTTTTAAGCAAACTCTTTCAAGAAAACGAAGATTTAAATATTTACACATATGTAACTAAAGATAATATCTTAAATGTAGATTCAGTTATAGGTGCCGAGAAATCCTGAAGAATGGTTGCAAATTGCCAGGGGATTTGACGAAAGATGGCATTTTCGAAACTGTTTAGGAGCGATTGGCGGGAAACACTGTCTTCTGCAGGCACCAGTAAATAGTGGGAGTGACTACTTTAACTATACTAAGTGACATATAAATCCGAACACCCAGTTTAAATGGTTTTATTTTAAGAAAATTTTGTATAAGTACTTAATGAAGCATAATAAGTAAATGATAAAAATTTCAAAATGATTGCACTGCTTTAAAGCCCTTTGACCTTTAATAATGTGTGGATGCACCCTGATGTGCTTCGCATTCTCCAACGCGCCTAGGCATGCTTCTGATCAGGTGGTCAATGTCCTCCTGTGGCATCTCATTCCAGGCAACCACCAACTCCTCTCGAAGTGCTTCTAGAGTCTGAGGAGGACGTTGCAAATTGAGCAATCTCCTACCTATCATATCCCACACGTGCTCAATTGGGGATAAGTCGGGAGATCTTGGTGGCCATGGTAACAATGTGGCATCATTATGTTGAAAGAAGTCTATTGTGACTCTTGCAACATGTGGTCGGGCATTATCTTGTTGGAAAGTGGGATCTGCCAGGGTGTCAAGATAGGTTTAAAGATGGGGTTCTAGAACTTCGTGGATATAACGCTGCGCGTTCATGTTACCTCTGACGAAAATTAAAGGTGACCTGGAACCATAAGCTATAGCATCCCAAACCATAACTCCAACAGTGTGGTGAAGATGTCTTTCAACAAAAAACTGTGGATTCCTCCTTTCACCACGTCGCCTTCTAACCCTGGCACGACCATCCTGCATGCCTAAACAAAATCGAGACTCGTCACTAAAGACAAGACCGTTGTCTGCACCACTCAAGGCGATTACGTCGGTATGCTCGAGTTAAAGGGAGGACCCAGTGTGGCCGGTATGAAAACAAGCCAAAACTTCTCATTCGTCGGTAAACACTTCGCATGCCAATAGGTCTTCCGTGTTCTGCAAACCATTCATTTGCAATGGACCTGGTAGTCGAGAAACGGTCCCTTAAGGCCAATAATCTTAGGCGGCGATCTTCACGGTCTGTTGTTCTACGGCGGCGTCCAGTGCCCCTTGCTCTTTGCGTACGGCCTTCTCGAAGCCATGCCTGATAACACCTAACCACAGTGTCTACACTTCTTTGCACTCTAACTGCAATTGCCCGAAAAGAAAGTCCAGCTTCCCGAAGTCCCACTATACGGCCCCTATCAAACTCACTAAGTTGACGAAATCGTACAGGTCTCCGTACTCTAGGCATCGTAACCGATCGTAAAGGATGTCAAGAACCAAAATCCGCCAACGTTGATTCTTTACTGCGGCTGAAATATTCATTTTTAGAGCGTTAGTGAATTAAAAAAAAGCAGTATAAAAACCGGAATGTCCAACTGATAAGGCTGAAAATTTTTTCACTTATTATTTACAGTAAGATAAATACATTCACCAACTTTTATTAAAATAAAACCATTTAAACTGGGTGTTCGGATTTATATGTCACTTAGTATATAAATCAACGTTCAGTATAGTTTTACTAGGTGTTGTTGATTATGACTACAATTTTTTATATGCCAATGTTGGATGTCAGGGTCGTATATCAGACGAAGGAGTATTTTCAAACACCACTTTTTGCCAAAAAATGCAAGAAGATGATAACAGATGCTTATATTTTGCCTGGAAGAACAAAAAAGGTGCCTTATGTCTTTGTTGCCGAGCTTCAGAAGCATTTTTTAAAACCGTACGGAGGAGCACATGAGAATAATTCGCCTAAGCGAGTTTTTAATTACAGATTGTCGAGAGCACGCAGAATTGTTGAAAATTCGTTTGGCATACTTTCCGCTGTGTTTAGAGTCCTTAGAAAACCATTACTGCTAAGCGCAGATAAGGCAACTCTGGTTGTTTTAAGCTGCGTATACCTCCACAACTTTTTAATAAAAAGTGAGGAGTCACGAAACATTTATAATCCACCTGGAACGTTTGATGGTAATATCAGTGAGAACTTGAACAACGAAGCTTTTATCCCATTGAAAAAAGTGCCTAGAAAGCCTTCAGTCCAGAGTGAACAAGTTAGACAAGAATTTATGGAGTCTTTCACAGCAACAGGCCAGATTCCTTGGCAAGAACATAAATAGATAATTCAGAGACTTGAATATTGAACTTGAAGTAAATACATATATTTCTCGATATATTGTAAGCGACATTTATTCAAAAATATATTTGAATTTCCTTATATCGTATTATTTGGCTTACCTCATCAGTACTGCGAGTCTCCCTGGGTTGAAATTTATCCATCAAAAATAACAGGCTTTTGATAGCAAACCATGTAGAATGATAAATTTCATCAGTTTCACTGCCAGACTTTTTAGTCGTACCATCTTTTTGGCGTTCTCGCCTGAATGATGCAAGAAGCGAATTTATTTTCCTGTTACTGTCATCCACATCGCAATTTAATTCTGAAGAAATGTCAGTCCACGCATCAATTTTCTTGTTGGTTATTTTGTACAATTTTGATTTTGGGTCCCATAAGCACGGTTTGCTTCTATATAATTCGATTAATTGAAGGGTCTTCTCGTTTGTCCACTGCATTCTGTATTGGTCTATATAAATAACACGACTTATAAATACCAATAAGTATTAAAATCTACTTAATTATTTACCTGCAAACATACAATTTTATTATATTAATGCAGCCCATAAATTTCGTTTGCTAAGAGTGAATTCGCTCGCTACTAACTGGACACCGTTTACATTGAGCACGAATTTCCTTTGATGATTCGCGGATCTACGGACAAGCGTCGGAACATACGAGAACACGAACAATATTCGTTCGGTCTTCTTCGGTTCGCCACTTAAATAGGGCGAGCGTAAGCGAACGAATTCGTTCGTTCGCTCGTGTTCGCACTAATTTAAACGCACCTTTACATACATACGTACGTACAGACCAAGCTTCTGTAAAAGCGTGTTAATAATAAAATATATAAAAGCGTGTTAAAAAAATCCGATAAATATTCTGTGCCAAAACTTTTAGGACATACCTTATAACGTCTATGTATGACTTTTTTCTAAAAGATCGTACAAAAAATTTAAAAGGGCTCGATTTATAGCGGTTCATGTAACGTAACATCCAAAAAATGTTCTCATTTTTCAAAATTTTCGTGATTATAATACCTACTCGATAATTGCCGTTTATGTTTAACTACTACATATACAATTCGTCACCACCATGTCAACATGCTTTAAAATTACCAACTTACATGTTATTTAGCACTTACTCGGTTATCTCAGAATAACGTTCAATGCATTCTACCAAAGACCTCCTGTCCTCCGTAAATTGAAGTCGTTCTTTCAAGCATGCCACCTGTATGATAGCTTCTATTAACATGGTGCAAAGGAATGAGATATATGTAGCACCCATTGTAGCATTGCATACTGAAACGAGGGCCTGTAACCAAAAATACACCCTCCAGTGGATCCATGGGGGAATATAACTGACCAATGGAGCAGTCTTGCCCTGAAGCACTCCTACTATTGGTGCTAGACAGGTTAGGGTAAGGCTCAGCCCGTAGAACAGTTTTTTAATGAAGTAAGCGCTTCCCTTCCACTCGTGTATGTACTACAAATAATTGGATTTTTTCCATTTGAATGTATACATTGACATACGTGCTGTGTTGAATTGTGTTTCTAAACCTAATTGAAACAACAAAAAGGAACAATTTGGCCTTATAAATCTTCAATCAATTGATTCAGAAATAACAGAACTTTTCAGTAAATTTTATCAAGGACTGAAGCTTAAGTTCATCAAAATTACAAGGTAAAGTAGAGTCTAACCGTGTATAAATCATCGAGATGCGGCCGTGAGGGTATGAGAATTGCTTTTTGATACAAAGTACTTACAGAAAACAATATCCACCCAACAGATTATCGAGAAGTTGTTATCTTATGCTGACTCTATGTCTAGTGCAACATTGCTATAATTAACAGCGTAGTGACTAACTTATGAGTCACGATTTCAGCTCAATGGATTTAATTTTTATACAAATGTACCATTAGGAAAGAGACATAGAGAAATGGTAGGTTGTATGGACAGGGGCCTTTCATATCTGAAAATAAAAAAGTTCTAGATTCATTTTTTAATGGATATATTGTATTTATCTAAACACACAAAATCTTTGATATCACATATCTGAGGCACTACTGATCCGATTTTGATGCATGATAATTGCACAATGAATAACAAAGTTTCCAAGGAGAGAACGTAAAACCAGTGGAACGGTTAAAAAATCAAAGGTAGGACTCATGTTGTATTTTACCTAAATCAACAGCTTTTAATGTGAACATTGAAACTCTTGAGCTACAAAAAATAATTGTTGCTTATTAATTAGAAGAACAGATTGATTGCACCTCTTTTGGTTTTCCGGTTAAAAATTTCTATTTATTTAAATATATTTTTATCAGTTTGTGTGACACAAAACTCAAAGCTTTAAACATTACAACTTATTCCATCAACATTGTGTTCCGAATTGGGCTGATCTAGATTTCTTTGTATTTTGTGTGCAACGACCTGTAAATTATTACTTATTATTTTGTAGAAGAAAGAACAATAAATGACATAAATGAAGGGCGGAAATAGTGTTATTCGCCTCATTTACTCCTTTCTGTATAAATATATCTTTCTGTAATAAAATGACATGTCCGGAAGTACATATTACGTTTTTGTAGATTTGCAACCTAATTTCAAGTTGGTTTGAAAGGTCAAATTAAATGAATTTGCATCTTCAATGCCATTTCCCTTCTAAGCAGAATTCATGTTGTATAACACCGTTTGTTAGAATCATATCATAACACTAATTGCGCCTTTTGTTCATATATTGCTATTTTTTGCAAACTAATGCATGTAGAGTAAAAGCTATAGGGCGTTACATTTGAGAAAATACAAGGAAATAAAAAACTGAATCCAGTCCTGGAATTTTCGGTTCCCAAAACATCTTAATTTAAATTCCAAACATTATTTAGTAAGATGTTGATAATGTCAAGTTGTAGTGTATAAAATTTGATTACATGTTTAACAAAAAAATCGAGATAAGTGCAGTCCATATATTTTGCTAATCAATAAGCACCATTCAATGGCGTTTTTATAGATATCTAAACATTTCAATATATAAATTAAAAGCGCATAGGCCACTTAGACGGGCCCTTGTGCACCTCCACATTTCTTAGACCTCAATCCTCGCCATTCTAGCGAAGTTGATGGACCCCAGTATAGTCTGCCTGTAGTAGCTAAGAGCCTCGCAACGACACAGAACGTGCGCGGAGGTCTCTTCTTCTACCCCGCAGCGCTCACACAAGTGATCCTCAGCCACCCCCATCAGGTGGCGCCTTAATGTGTTATGGCCAGACAACAGTCCCACCAGCAACCTTAGGTTGGCTCGAAGTAATCTTACAGGCAGTTAGTGCCTTCATTGCAGCCTGGCTGTCGGAGAAGATTGTTATCCTTCTCCTAGGCCCACCCCTCTCCAAAATGAGGGATACACAAGCGAGAATCGCAACGATTTCCGCTTGGAAAATCGTGGTGTATCCACCAAGAGACAATGTTAGCTTAGTCCTAGGTCCCGAGACCCCGGCGCCCGGAGCCCTCTTCGGTGACCGTGCCGTCCGTGTACCAGACTTGCCCACTCCCTGCAGTGAGCCTCCGGTAGCCGGTGTCCAACCCTCCCTCGTTGGATACTCCACATTAAACATGCGGTTGAAGCAATACTTAGTGCTCAGAAGGACAGGATCCTCCCTTTGCTGTTCGACCAGGATGGCAGTATGACCCTTGACGGGACTCAAGAAGGCCCAGTTTCACTGACTCCACAGTTGATGTGCGACTACTCTCGCCTCTCCGCAGATCACTAGACCCAATGACGGGAGATCCAGCAGAGCTTCCATTGCACTCCATGGCGTTGTCAGCACTGCGCTTGTAATGCTAATACAGGCCAATCGCTGAATTTTATTGAATTTGGCCTTATTCGTCTCAGTTCCAATGCAATGCCACCAAACCAAGGAGCCGTACAAGAGAGATGGACGCACTATTGTCGTGTAGAACCAGCAAACCACGTTGGGTTTGAGCCCCCACCTAACACCGACAACGCGTCTACAAGCCCACAATGAATTGCGAGCCTTGTTAACCTTAAATTCAACGTGCTCTCTCTAGTTCAGTTTACAGTCCAAGATAATTCCTAGATAGCTGAGTTCTTTTGGGTGTGGATTAAAACACTCGATTCCACAAAACGAAATGCACTAATTTATTTAAAACTTTAACTTAACTAGATAGAACATTTATGTACACCACTGTTTATGTAATGACTACTTATTTACCAGTTATTATGTCGCGCCATTCACTCAACGCTGCCTTTCTCTCTACCAGCCGTCGGCTTATATACTAAGTGACATATAAATCCGAACACCCAGTTTAAATGGTTTTATTTTAATAAAATTTTGTATAAGTACTTATCGAAGCATAATAAGTAAATGATAAAAATTTCAAAATGATTGCACTGCTTTAAAGCCCTTTGACCTTTAATAATGTGTGGATGCACCCTGTTGTGCTACGCATTCTCCAACGCGCCTAGGCATGCTTCTGATCAGGTGGTCAATGTCCGCCTGTGCTATCTCAATCCAGGCAACCACCAACTCCTCTCGAAGTGCTTCTAGAGTCTGAGGAGGACGTTGCAAATTGAGCAATCTCCTATCCATCATATCCCACACGTGCTCAATTGGGGATAAGTCGGGAGATCTTGGTGGCCATGGTAACAATGTGACATCATTATGTTGAAAGAAGTCTATTGTGACTTTTGCAACATGTGGTCGGGCATTATCTTGTTGGAAAGTTGGATCTGGCAGGGTGTCAAGATAGGGTAAAAGATGGGGTTTTGAACTTCGTGGATGTAACGCTGCGCGTTCATGTTACCTCTGATGAAGATTAAAGGTGACCTGGAACCATAAGCTATAGCACCCCAAACCATAACTCCAACAGTGTGATGAACATGTCTTTCAACAAAAAACTGTGGATTCCTCATTTTACCACGTCGCCTTCTAACCCTGGCATGACCATCGTGCATGCCTAAACAAAATCAATACTCGTCACTAAAGACAATACTGTTCCATTCCTGATCCTAGAGTGACCGTTGTCTTCACCACTCAAGGCGATTACGTCGGTGTTCTCGAGTTAAAGGGAGGACCCAGTGTGGTCGGTATGAAAACAAGCCAAAACTTCTCATTCGTCGGTAAACACTTCGCATGCCAATAGGTCTTCCGTGTTCTGCAAACCATTCATTTGCAATGGACCTGGTAGTGGAGAAACGGTCCCTTAAGGCCAATAATCTTGGGCGGCGATCTTCACGGTCTGTTGTTCTACGGCGGCGTCCAGTGCCCCTTGCTCTTTGCGTACGGCCTTCTCGAAGCCATGCCTGACCACACCTAACCACAGTGTCTACACTTCTTTGCACTCTAACTGCAATTGCCCGAAAAGAAAGTCCAGCTTCCCGAAGTCCCACTATACGGCCCGTATCAAACTCACTAAGTTGACGAAATCGTACAGGTCTCCGTACTCTAGGCATCGTAACCGATCGTAAACGATGTCAAGAACCAAAATCCGCCAACGTTGATTCTTTACTGCGGCTGAAATATTTATTTTTAGAGCGTTAGTGAATTAAAAAAAAGCAGTATGAAAACCGGAATGTCCAACTGATAAGGCTGAAAAATTTTTCACTTGTTATTTACAGTAAGATAAATACATTCACCAACTTTTATTAAAATAAAACCATTTAAACTGGGTGTTCGGATTTATATGTCACTTAGTATATATTCCGTATCGCAGGTACTCGTTAATTCGAGAAAGTTCCGGTACGCCACATATCGCCCAGTCCAGAACCTAGATGGCGCTAGTAGTACCACTCGGGGCCAGTCTCGCACCAAAGAAGAGTCCCTGGCGCGATTTCCGACAGATAGCGCTAGTAGTACCATTCATTCTCGTTACATTAGGAACAATTTCACCAAAATCTATCAATAATGCTTGAGATATTCGATATTGTAGATTAGGCGTATTTAGGTAAATAACCTTGTAAAACGGTAAATAAATGGCTTCAATCAGGTTGACTCTCATGCAACGCCTTCATTAGTTCAAGGATCATGTTAAGCACAAGTTAGACCCTGTCAAAATAAGTCAGCGCCACAGACCTTATAGCAAACAGCTGTCCATGGTTAGTTGTCTATGGTCGGCGGGTGAAAGCAGCACGTTTAAGTTAGGTCCTCTGGGAAACTTAGCTACGAACATATATATGTATAACAAAGAAATTAAACGGATCAAGTCCATACAATTAGTCCATTAGTATTATTTCCTTGCCCTAGCCGTATTACCGTCCGTCTGGCAACATCGCATTTTTCCATATTTGATCGCACGGTGTGTCAGACGCGGACAGCATCGCTGCTTGTCGAAAACACTTCTCTATCGTTTTAAGGGGATTTATATATATATATATATATATATATATATATATATATATGTCTAACAGGTTCGCTAGACAGACAGACAGACAGACAGACCGCCAGACAGACCGACAGACAGACAGATAG